AGCATCATGCAGGGGGTCAGGTCTGGGACACGTTTTGGGCGATGTATGATTTATTTCATCATGAGTAAGATCACAGTGGCACACCCGTCCATGTCAGTTCGAGTTTGGGTAGACGATATCAATGAGCATGTTGCTGGCTCTCGGAAAGCAGTTCGTGAGAAGCTATTTCAAGGCGCGCTTGATACTTGTCGGTCTCTTGTCGCACACGGCCTGCCTGTGTCACCTAAGAGCGTCATCATGTGCACCAACGCCTCTGACAGCAAACATGTCGTCCAACGTCTTCGGCGTCGGGGTTTCCGTCTCCAGCATGCCCTACAAACCACTCTCCTCGGGGCCGATCTTTGGGCTGGTCGCGCAGCACGGGCTTCTCGGACCAAACGGGTGGCTAAGGCGAAGGGCATGAACTTTAGGATTTGCAAGTTCGGACGGGCTTCTAGGAAGTATCTCAGGTCAGGATTACTCGAGCGTGTCGGTGCGCAAGCTGCTGGGTGTTATGGGCGTCAGATTGTGGGGGCTTTCGGTACCTTTCGGCAGCAGTGCAGACGACGCCTCGGACACACGCTTTCCTCGGCCACGCGCGGTCGGTGTTTAACTACATTCTCGATTTGCGGGCCGACGGACACGATCCTGGGTATATATTTCCAAGGGAATGTTTCCAGTTATGGTTACGTACTTGGTTTCAGGATCCGTCACTCCGACCCGCAGTTCGCGCGGCTTGGCCGCGCGTAGTCGCACAGTTTCGGCAGTTGGAGCCTCGGCAGATATCGCAAGCGGTTCGAGGGCCCATCTCTGCCATGGTCGCGTATCTTCTTGAGTTTGGATGGGACCCAGTATCACCGAGCGAGTGGCACACACCTGTTAGCGATGACGATCCTGGAGCGATTTGGACGTTTCCCGATGAGGTCGTTTCTTGGTCGGAGGATTTTAGCGGGTTGGTGTCAGAGTTCGAGAAAACGGCCCGTCTCAAGCTTTGTAAGTCGGCGGCGTCTCATTTTTGCGGGGAAGGGGTCCAGCACGGGGTGGATAACCATTCTCTTCGGCAAGTTCTAGCAGCGCTTTCGTCTGCACCGCGCGGCACTCAGCTCTGTGAGACCATGTTCGCTATAGCAGTGGGGGGACATGGCCAAAGGGAAGGGTTGCAGATGAGACGAGCGCGCAGTGTGATGGTTTGTGTCCTCGGTGTCTGGAGAGCAAGGAAACTCCTCTTCACCGAGGCTGGCTCTGCAGTTGCAACAAGGACCATGCAGTATATTCCTCCTCTGCGCATCTTGTACCTCGTGCTGTAGCTGAGCACGAGGCAGCAGCTTGTTTCTGGTTGCGGGGCCTCATCCCAGCGCGATGGACCTCAGTGGAGCCTCCGCCAGACAACGAGCAGTGGCACATGTTTCATGCTCAGCATAACGAATTCCCTGCTACTGGAGGGCTCGGCATAGGCACCCCTGAGGAGCCCATCATTGTCTTCGGGGATGGCAGCGGGGGCGAAGATAGTCGTGATTCCCGTCTTCGGCGTGTCGGCGTCTCGGCGGTCTCCCTCAGCGACTTCGGCAATCCCACGGTTGCAGCTTGCATCTTCGGAGGCCTTCCTGGAGGTTCTCAAACTGTCCCTCGGGGGGAGCTCTGGGGCCTCCTCTTGGCGATTCGGCACACCCTGGGGTCCCTGGTCTACGTGTCGGGCAACAGCGGGGTCGTCAATGGTTGGTTTCAGAGGAAGTATTTGGCCCCATCGGGGCCCAACGCCAGCATTTGGAAGCTCATCGGTTCGGCACTCGAAGGACGTGATATTTCACAGGTTACTGTCTTACAGGTTCCCTCTCACCTCGAAGCCGAGCAGCATGTAGATTCCAAGTTGCCGATGTGGATGTTCATCGGCAACCAAGTCGCCGACACTCTCGCTGGAGTCGCCGCCAGTTTGGTTCGCGTCAGCCAGGATACCAGGACAAGGATCGGGAAGGTTGAGATTGAAGCAGGCCTCGTCCGAAAAAGATTGCTCCGATCCACTCTCGAGGCCATGGCCGCGTCCCCGTCCGTTCCTCGTGCCCGTGATCAGGTCAAGGCTCCCAGACCGCCAGCTCCCAGCATTGTGTCCGTCTTCGAGTCCGCGCACACCCTGTCCGAGAGCGGCCGTGCCTGCGTTGTCTGTCGGAGTTCGGCTTCAGCAGCAGCAGCCACGGCATGGCGTAGGAGTCAGTGCTATACTCTGCAGTCTGTCGGCTCCGCCCTTTTCCAGGTGCCGAGGGGGCAGTCGGTGCATGTCGGGGGGGGCTGGGTTCACGAGACTCACCGAATGGTCGATCAAGCTAAGAATAACGTGTGGATATGTAGTTCCTGCGGAAGTTTTGGAGTCGAGCAGCTTCGGGCGTCTTTGGCCCAGCCGTGTCTTGGCACTTTGACCTCCGCTGGGGCCTCATATCTCCGCAGAGTGGAGGATGGGCAATGTCCCAAGTATCCCTCCAAGCGTGCGAAAGGCTCCTGAGGAGTCCTGTCGTCCTCTCTCTTTTCATACGCACCGCGTTGGAGCTATTCCTATTCCTATTCCTATTCCTTCTCCTCCTCCTCCTCCTCCTCCTCATCCCCCCCCCCCCCCCCCTCTCCCCTCCTCAGTGCCAGCTCGGCTCGAGCCTTCTTGGCTCGAAGCCCGAGCCTGTGCGGCCAGAGCCCCCGCTCCGTCCCATGCCTGGTTCTGGCGCCTCGGAGCGGCCCTGGCGTCGGCCCAGCCGCTCGGCGGCGGGGCGGCGCGCCCGACATCGCTGTGCCGAGGCGCGGGCCGTCTCCCACCGCCTCGGCACGTCCGCGGCGCTGGTGCGCCGCGGCGGAGCGCCCGCGCGGCTGGCCGCGGCGCTCGCAGGCGGCGGCGCGGGAAGAAGGCACGTGGATGAGCAGGCGGAGGCGCAGCAGGAAAGCGGCATGGAGCTGGAGCCCGTGGCGCTGGCGCAGGCGGCAGACGAGACAGCGAACGTGGCGGAGGTCGCTCGGGCGGCTGCGGCCGCTGGTGTGCCTGGCGTAGCATCACCTGTCGACGCCGTGCGCCAGGCGTCGACGGGCGCGAGCTCACAAGAACCCCCACAGCGCGGGGACGCATCATCGACAGTCGGCGGCACATGGGCAGAGCGGTGGGCGCTGCTGGTTGCTGATGGTGCCCCCCCTGGCTCGGCGGGACGTCCCTGTTCAGCAGAGAGGAAGTGCAGTTGAGACATCGTCCGATGCCATGGTGGAGTTGCGTCGGGCCACGGAGAGACATTAGCTGGCACTTTTGCCAGTCGCCTTCGCAGCTCAGGTTCAACGATGACAGATGCAAGCGCCAGTAGCGTGCCCCAAGTGGGAGGCAACGTGTAACTTTCGCTTGGCATTTTGTTAAGGCCACTGGCCAGCATTCCAGTTATTGTGGGGCTTCCCTGTAGGGTTTCTTTCGCGGCGGTAGGGGGGCGCGCGCAGTCCGTCGCACTGCGTGTCGGTTTGTCTTGTAAGCCGCATTCAGGTTACACCATCCTGAGTGGTTGCGATTACGCCAATTTTGAAATAGGTAGCGCGTGCTGGCATTGGAACAGCGTGGAGCAACATGATGAATTCGAGTATGTGCTGGTACATTGTCGCGTTGTTTGGCACGGCTTCCCCTTCATCTCGCTTCTGGAGGAGTCCTTGGTGAAGGCTAGCAGTTGATTGTACCACTCTTGTGATGGCCGTGCTCCTGATAATCCTCCTCCATCCACCTCTCCCCCTCCTCCTCTCCTCACCACCTCCCTCCTCTTCGGCTCTCCAGCCTCCCCGTCCCTTCTTGCCTCTTTTGGGACGTGTGTCTCGTCGGCGTCGCTCCTTGCCCGTCGAGCGCAGTCCGCGCGTCCGTCAGCCGCGCGCGGAAGCGGGGCGGCGTCGCCCGACGCGCCTTCGCCACGCAAAAGGCGACCGCCTCTTCGACGGTTTTCGGTCGGCCCAGGCAGCCAACGCCTCGGGAAAACATCGGGACGGCAGCTTTTCGCAGCTCGCGGCCTCCGGGAGCCCTCGCATGGCACTGGGGGAAGGGCCTTCATCAGTCTTACGCAGCGCGCGATGGGGGGCCACGATTGGTCATCGAGTTCGGGGGCCCTGCATCCACGGCCGGGCGGAAGAATAATCATATATATATATATATATATATATATATATATATATATAACCTTTTCAGGCCAGGGAATCATGGCAGCAGTTGTTCGCCGCTTTCGGTCCCCCGGAGCCGTCGCCAAGCGCCTGGGTCGTCGGATTTGTGGGGGCGGCCTTCGGGCGTTTTCGCGTCGGTTGCTGTTGGGCGTTTCTGGAGGTTCTCCCGGCCACGGCTGAGCGACGTTCGAGGAACTGGCAAGCATGGGCTTGGGGGCCACGGGGTGTCCAGCGACCCATCCTGAACGGAACGGCTGCCCCTCCCCCGCCCCCGCCTGGTCCCCCCCATCCCATTCTGCCTTACGGGTCCCTCCCCGCCCCCCGCCCACGTGGGACCCCGAGACGTCTCCATAACGGCGGCCTCTGGCGGGTTTCAGCCTGTCGCGGCCCTCGGCGGCCGCCCGCGCAGTGTCGGCGGGACGGAAGTCGGCGGCAGTGGCGGCGGCGGTGTCGTCGCAGCTGTCCGTCGTCCCCCTCGCCGTCCCCTCCGTCGTCTTGCCGCAGCGTTGTCCTTGCCACCGTCGCCGCCGCCGCCGTCGTCTGCCGCCGCCCCACCCCCCAGCCCCCTGGCCTCAGCCGAAGAGGGGCCCCAGTGGCTTTCCGACCCGCCCAGCGAGCGCGCCAGGGGCGGCGCCGGAGTCACCGCTTGGGGCATCCAGCGCAAGTCCGAGAGATCCGCGCGGATCTCTGAAAGCCAGTCAACCCGCATAGCAAAGAGGAGCGGCTTTCCAAGGTTGCCTTGCATCTTTCCCCTGCCGGCCCATCCTTGGCCCCGCTCGCAAAGTGCCGGCTTGGCCTTCCCAGGCCCCTGCCCCCTCATCGTGCGTCCTTGCCACGTGGGCCGCATGTGTGCCATGCTGTCTCTCCCGAGCGACGACCCGCGGCCCGCGCGCCATGCACTGTACATAGCCGACGCGCGCGGCGATGGCCTCCGGAGCGCTGGCGCTGCGCTGGCGCCCCGGGCTCTGCTCGTGCGGCCTGCTGCCGCGGGTGGCCGCGGCGCCGCCGGCCGGCGGGCGGCGCTGGGCGGCCGCTCCTCGCCCGCGGGGCTTCTGCGCGGAGGGCGCCGGGCCGGCCGGGGAGGCGCAGGCCAGCGGCCCTCAGAGGCGGCGATAGGGGGGAATAGCCCAGGGGAGAGCAACACATGTGTGCTCAGGTGCGCCGATGATCTGTGTCTTCGACGAGGCTCCCAGGCGAGTGCGTGTCATGCCCGCCCCTGGGCTATTCGCCCCTATCGCCGAGAAACGGCGCTCGGACCCCGATCTCCGAGAGTGCGCTTGCACTTGTTGCTCAAGGGTGTCAGGCCTCCCAGGTGGGGTCGGAGGATCGCGCCGCATCGCCGATGCATCGGCGGTGCGGCTCGATGTGGGGCCCGACTTCCTCCACGCCGACGGCCGATGCACCAGCGATGGATTCTTGTACAGAGCTTCCCCCACCACCCACTGCCAGCTTCGGCAGTGGGCAGAGGGGGGCCTTGTGTGGCCTCTGGCATCCGGTGGCTCTGACCCTGAGGGTTTCCATGGCTTCGCCGCGCGGATTCTCCCAATTCCCGATGATGACAATGACGATGACGGTGACGGTGACGGTGACGGTGACGGTGATCGTGACCGTGACGGTGACGGTAACGGTGACGATGACGATGCTGATGACGATGATTATGACGATGACGATGACGATGACGATGACGATGACGATGACGATGACGATGACGATGACGATGACGATGATGATGATGATGATGATGATGATGATGATGATGATGATGATGATGATGGTGATGGTGATGGTGATGGTGATGGTGATGGTGATGGTGATGATGATGACGATGATGATGACGACGATGATGATGTTGATGAGGATGATGATGTTGATGAGGAGGATGATGGTGGTGATGATGATGGTGGTGATGATGATGGTGGTGGTGATGATTGTGATGGTGGTGGTGATGATGGTGATCATGATGGTGATGATGGTTGTGGTGGTGATGATGATGACGATGTTGGTGGTGGTGATGATGCTGATGATGATTATGATGATGATGATGATGATGATGATGATGATGATGATGGTGATGGTGATGTTGATGTTGATTTCGGGTGTAGCCCGAATTGGTTCTCGCGAGGTAAACTGAACTGAACTCGACTGCACTGAACTGAACTGAACTGAACAGACTGGTCGCACCCGTTACGCGACGGTTTCATTCTCGGCGCCAAGGGCGCAACCTATGGCGCAACCGATAGGGGACGGTTATATTCTCGGCCGCCGAGGGCACCCCTATGGCGCAACCGATAGGCGACGGTATTATTCTCGACCGCCGAGGGCGCAACCTATAGCGCAACCGATGGAAGACGGTTTCATTCTCAGCCGCCGAGGGCGCAACATATGACGCAACCGATGGGAGACGGTTTTCTTCTCGGTCGCCGAGGGCGCAACGTATGGCGCAACCGATCGTAGACGGTTTTATTATCAGCCGCCGAGGGCCCAACTTATGGCGCAACCGATCGGAGACGGTTTTATTCTCGGCCGCCGAGGGCGCAACCTATGGCGCAACCGATAGGGGACGGACGGTTTGAGTCTCAGCCGCCGAGGGCGCAACCGATAGGGGACGATTTTATTCTCAGCCGCCGAGGGCGCAGCCTATGGTGCAACCGATAGGAGACGGTCTTGTCCTCAGCCGCCGAGGGCGCAACCTATAGCGCAACCGATAGGGAACGGCTTTATTATCGGCCGCCGAGGGCGCAACGTATGGTGCAACCGGTCAGAGACGGTTTCATTTTCAGCCGCCGAGGGCGCAACTTATGGCGCAACCGATAGGCGACGGTTTTCTTCTCAGCGTCGACGGCGCAGCCTATGGCGCAACCTAGGGCACAACCTATGGCCTCTGCCGCCGACCCCCGAGAAACTACGGGGGTTCATGCAACGCGCCGCGCAGGCAAAGCATCCACGACATTTTGTACGTTCCACCACTATGCAATATGCAACTGTACCATTGCAAATGTCAGCGCTTGGCGTCAGTGGTGGCAGCTGTCACGGCCGATCTCCCAACTATTTGTGCGAATTGGACCCAGGTCACAATTCACGCGCTCCGTGCTGTTCTCGCGTGCACGTCATGTCGACAGACCCCTGCCAGGAGAAGGAGGATGAGCAGGAGGAGGACGAGGAGAAGCGAAGACGAGGTCCTAGACGAGGACGACGAGGAGGAGCTGGAGAAGGAGGAAGACGAGGAGGATGAGGAGGAGGACGAGGAGGAGGACGACGACGACGATCAGGATGGGGAGGACGACGGTGAGGAACACGAGTAGTACGAGTACGACGTGTGGGCATTCGAATGCGTGCGGGACAACGTCCGATGTATGCTCGCCGTTTGGCCTGGCGGTGGGGCCCAAGCGGCGAGCTGTCTTGTGATTGTGCTGTTGATGCTGACGTTGATGTTGCTGATGGTGGTGATGCTGATGATGATAAGGAGGAAGAGGACGGCGATGATGCGGATGATGCTCACGATGATAATGATGACGATGGTGATGGTGGTGGTGATGGTGATAGTGATGGCGATGGTGATGGTGATGGTGGTGATGATCATGACGATGTTGGGGATGTTGACCATCCTGATTGTGGGGGAATTCTTTACGCAGCCAGATTTCCCCCAGCCCCACCCCGCCACCCCTCGGCCAGTCTCGGTGGTGGGCGGGGGGAGACTCCGATGGCCTCCTCCAGCCTGCGAGTTCTCTGCCAGTCTCTGCCCCTGATAGGTCCACGGCATTGCAGATTGTTGTTTCATCTCTTGTGGCGACAGTGATGGTGGCGATGTTGATGATGGTGACGCTGATGATGTAGATGATGATGGTGGTGATGATGATGTTGATGCTGATGATGCTGATGAGGATGGTTGTGGTGGCGATGGTGATAGTGATGGTGACGGTGATGGTGATGGCGATGTTTATGATGATTATGATGCTGGTGGTGATGTTGATCATCATGATGGTGGGGAAATTCTTTACACAGCCAGATTTCCCCCAGCCCACCCGCGGCCAGCTTCGGCGGTGGGCGGGGGGAGACTCCCATGGCCTCATCTAGCCTGCGATTTCTCCTCTGCCGGTCTCTGCCCCTGATGGATCCCATGGCATTGTGGGGTTCTTCTGAGTTCTTGTGGTAATGGTGATGATGATTTTATTGATGATGATTTTGGTGGTGATGATGACGATGTTTATGATGACGATGGTGATGATTATGGTCATGGTGATGGTCATGCTAGTGACGATGATGATGACAATGATGGTGGTGGTGGTGGTGACGGTGATGAGGAGGAGGAGGAGGAGGAGGGCTAGGGTGATGATGATCATGATAATGATGGTGATAGTGATGGTGATAATAGTGATGCTGCTGATGATGATGATGATGATGATGATGATGATGATGATGATGATGATGATGATGATGATGATGATAATGATGACGCTGACTATTCGTATGGTTTTGATGATGTTGATGGTGGTGGTGACGATGCTGTTGATGATGATCATGATCATGGCCATGATCATGATCACGATGATGGTAGGAATGATGATATGCTGATGGTGGGAAGATCCTGTACAAAGCCTGCTTGTTGTACATATTTTTCCCCAGCCCCCCCTTGCGGTCAGCTTCGGCGGTGGGCGGTGGTGGGAGGGGGAGGGACTCCCATGGTCTCGCCTAGCCTCCGATGGCTCTGTCCATGATGGATCCCACGGCGTCTTGCGAGTCCTTCCAATTCTCGATGGTGATGCTAGTGATGAGAAGGATGGTGATGATGATGCTGATGATGATGATGACGATGATCATCATCATCATCATCATCATCATCATCATCATCATCATCATCATCATCATCATCATCATCATCATCATCATCATCCCCATCATCATCATCATCATCCTCCTCATCCTCATCATCATCATCATCATCATATTCATCATCACCATCATCATCATCATCATCATCATCAACATCATCATAATTATCATCATCATCATGATCATCATCATGGTGGTGATGCTGATCATGATGATGGTGGAGGGATTCTGCACCTAACCAGCTTGTTGTGGAACTTCCCCCAGCCCCCCCGCGGCCAACGTCGGCGGTGGGCGGGGGATAGGGGGGGGTCCCGTGGCCTCCTCTGTCCCTGATGGATCCCACGACTTCGCGCGGGGTCCTCACACGCACGATTGTGATGATGATGATGATGATGAGGAGGAGGAGGAGGAGGAGGAGGAGGTGGAGGAGGAGGAGGAGGAGGAGGAGGAGGAGAAGGAGGAAGAGGATGACGAAGATGACGACGATGGTGATGATGATGGTGATGATGATTTTGATGCTAATGATGCTAATGATGGTATCTACGCCGGCACCAGCGCCAGCACGTACACCAGCATTGGAGGCAGCATCGACGCCGGTATCAACTCAGGCGCCCACTACAGCGTCGACGTCAGCATCGAGGATAGCGTCAGCGCCTGACCCTATACCTGCACCAGCGCCAGCGCCTACACCAGCATCGACCCCAGCATCGACCTCGGTACCAATTCCGGCGCCTGCGCCGGCACCAGCGCCAACGTTTGAACTAGCATTGACGCCAGCATCGACCCTGGTTCCACTCCAGCGCCTGCGCTGGCACCAGCGCGGGCGGCATTGACGCTAGCATCGACGCCGACGCCAGCTCCGACGCCTCTGACAGCATCGCCACCAGCGTAGTCGGCAGTGCCAACGCCGGCGCCAACGCCGAATTATGCCTTCACCAGCATCGACGCCAGCATCGACCTTGGCACCAGATAATGGCCACACTTTGTTTGGGAGATGTTTCCCTCCCTCAGGCAGTGGCGGAAAATGCCAGCGCCTGCACCAGAGTCGCAGCCGTTACCGACTTCCGCACTGACCAGCTCACCGACTCCCAGCCCGACCAGCTCAAGAATGAGGACTCGCACAGACCAGCTCACCGACTTCACACCGACCAGCTTGGCGGCTCCCGCACCGACGAGCTCACCGACTCCCGTGCCAACCAGCACGGCAGCTTCCGCACCAGCCAGCTCACCGTCTCCCACACCGAACAGCTAGGTGGCTC